TTAAAAGAGAAGGGGTGGACGGAGTAGATTTTCAAACGGGCCGGAGACGATTTCTGGGCAATTTTTAAGTGTGCATGCTAGAGGTGATCAATCACCTCTATTAAAGGAGAGGCGTTCACCAATTCAGAATGAAGAGACACCACTCTTCAAAACCGGAATTTCCGGCGTAAAGATCCCCAGCTCGTCAGACGCAATCCCAGCTTTTCAGAAGACGCGTGGAAGGCGAGAAATCAGCTGCACACTTTAGCTGACAAATGTGGGAGACAAAGCCGAAAGCTCCCGGCTTTCCAGAAAGCGTGTGCATATTTGTCGAAAACTCCCGGCTTTGCAGAAAACGCGTGCCACTTGTCAAAAGATCTCAGACAGAGCCGCATCTGCGCTGCTACGTGTCGTTCAGAAAGCGAAGGGCATCGTTCAGAAATCGAAGGGGCGACTGCTCAGAAATCGAAGAGGCAAATTCAAAGATCGAAGAGTCGTCACTATTTCAAAAAGCCGGATTTGCGGGATCAAAACGTTTGTCGACAACGGTAAAAGAACAGTACCACCACTTGCTATTGAATTCCCTATATATGTCGACCTTCATTTTTTTGGCAAAGCAGAACTGAAGAAAAAGCCCAACTCTTTCTCACCTCTGAGGGTGCACTCCCAGCAAAGCCTTTCAAAATACTCCATTCTTTCTTCTTCCCCAAAGATGATACCAGATGCCTGGAGTACAGATGACCCAGGAGGAAACAGCACCACAAATACATGTGCTGATTCATTCACCGCTTCTTCAAAAGCAAAGGTATCTCATATCATCAAGGTCAAAAGCAAAAGTATCTCATATCATGCTCTTTCCCTGTCCTTTTCTTTGTCCTTGTTATTACTTGCATGGCAAAGTGAAAGAAGCAATCAGCCGACACTTGGAGTCTATCTGGACTCTATTCCCTGGTTGCTTACCTAGCTTTGCCGAGCTATCCTCTAACCCTCTTCAATACGAATTGGAGAGATTGAACAAAGAAACAGATAAAAGGAGGAAGCTCAGACCTTCGGGGGAGACCAAAGGAAGCCTGCTACCCAGTTCACGAGTAGCACAAAGGAAAATCAACGATGGGAGCAGCGCATTTCAAGAGTAAACCTGTGGAATCACTCAAGATGAAGCCTCACTGCAATCACCAAGGAGAAGATGGAATTTACACTCCATAACCAGATTTGCATCTCTAAAACTCTTCTCTTTGATAGATACATTCTGCCATGTTTAGTATGTTTAGTTGCTGTTTTATATGTTTTCTTTTGTTTGGTGTGTTTTAAGCTTAAAACATTGAGGACAATGTTTGATTTAAGTGTGGGGGGGTAACTAAGTATGTTGATGCAAAATTTGTTGGATTTTATCACCCATAACTTCAAGTGTTGTTCCTTGCTGTTTTAAAATGTTTTTAAACTGTTTTAGTGTGTTTTGACTTAAAAATTCGAAAATCCCATAAAAATTTGAAAAATTGTTTTGAAAAACCCAAAAAGAGTTGTTTTAAAGTTGTTTTTGTGTGTTTGTGTCGTAGGGTACCTTCCAACGCAATGATGAGGATTTGATTTTTAATTGCATGATGGTTAAAGAAAGTTACAAACATGGTTGGACGTTTGATATACTCTTTGGTTTATGCTTGGTTGTAGTTATAGTTTACGAATTCACATGTAATCACAAAAGAAAAAATTAGTTTTTGTAACATGCTTGAAGGAAGGAACTTAAACAAACGCTACATCCCTATGAGACTTGAGCCTAAACGTTATTTGGAGAGTTATAATCTATGCATCATTGTTTTCTAAGTCGTTGTATGATCTTATTATTCATTGCTTGGTTACTACTTAGAAGGCGTTTCATCACTTAGTTCCAAATGCTAGAACTCATGCCCATTTCATTCAAAGCATGTCATTGATTTGCATACCACATATTCAAGATGAAGTTGTGTAGTGACCACCACCATAGCCAAATTGCCATATTTGCCTTTTCATTTATTTTGTAGGATTTAACCCCATTGAGCCTTGTGTAGCCTATGTTCTTTGTTAACCCACATTATCCTCACCTAGCCTAGATTAGGACCATCCTTACCCTTGTTCTTGAAGCATAGTAAGCAATGAATTCCTTTTGATTAATGTGTTGCAGAAAATAAGTGTGGGGGAAGGATTATGGATGTGAGTTTATGTGCCATACGCATGGTTAAAAAAAAAAAAAAAAAAAAAAAAAAAAAGAAAAAGAAGTGAAAAAGAGTTGAAAAGTATTGTTTGTTGAAGTAAGGGCCCAAAACAATGAATTAGGCCCTAAGATTTGTTTGAATCTTCCCCATTTGTCTCAAAGTTGATTTCTGCATTCTAAGGGAATTCTAGGTCTTAATTTCATTACTTTACTTACTATTGCTTAAAGAACTTTTGTTTATCCCTACCTTTCCTTGTTAGCCAACACCCCAAGCCCCGTTACAACCCTTAACTTCTATCTTGAGTGTTGTGCATTTCAATTGTGGAGTTTGAATTCGGTATGAGCATATGGTGTCACTGGTTCTCGCATCTAAGTAGTAGCATTCCATTTATGAGATCATATCTAAACACATTTAATTACTCCAGAAATTGCGTTCTTTGTTATAACGTATGTGAGTACTAGTCTTTCATGTTTACATCAATCTGCTCACATATAACTAGTGCAGGGTGTGTAGTCAGAAAATCTGAGTGAAAATTGAGTGCATAACTAGTGAGGAATTGAGGGAATTCTCTAAGGCATGTTACTACATTCAAAATGTGTTTTAATTGATTAAATGCGAACTAGTGAATGGTGACTATGAGTAAGTATGTGCTTGAGGGGAAAGAAGACTAAAAGCTATGTGTGTGATGATCTTAGACATGTCATGTTTCATTGGAAATCCCTGAGGAAAACGTTGGAAGGTTTAGGTTATGTTTTGTTTGTTTTGTGGCGTTTTGTTTACTTTAGTTGTTTTGTTTTGCTCGAGGACTAGCAAAAGTTAAGTGTGGGGGAATTTGATAGGAGCATATTCATGCGACTTAATTAGCTTGTTCTCGTGCATTTACGTTGTGTTTACTTAGTTGTTTTAGTGTTTAAGGCCACTTTTGTGTATTTTCAGATTATAAGGCCAGAGTGTGCAAGAAGATGCAAATTGGAGCCTTTTGGAGCGAAAGAGGAATGAATGAGTTGAAGACTTGAAGAAACGACGAATTCCTACTCCAACGATGAATTCTTACCAAAACGAGGAATCCTACTCAAACAAGGCTTCCTATTTTAGGAAAGTTGACCCTAAGTTTCCCGTTTTGGTAACCTTTCCTAATCTTAAACGTCCGCATTTTCTAGCCACTCTGAAGTCCTTGTAGGCGCTTTAGGACGCAAAACGAAGGCCCTAGAGCCCTTCACCCTAATTAGGCCCAAATCCATGCATTAAGCCCTTCACCCTAATTGGCCCAAATCCATGCATTAAGCCCTTCACCCTAATTGGCCCAAATCCATGCATTAAGCCCTTCACCCTAATTCTTCCTCCTAATTAGTGCATCCCACCATTCCATTCCATAATTTCCATTAGTGCATCCCACCATTCCATTCACACATAAATGCCCATTATCCCATTTTTTTAGCTTTTAATTCCACACCATCCCATTATCCTTTACATCCACTAAACCATGCATCCACATTCACCTAAATAAACCCTAAATTACATCCACTAAACCATCCATCCACCATAATTCCCACCATCCACACCTTTTCCCTTCCACCAAATACCTTAAACAAACATCCATTAACACCCATTCTCTTCCTATAAATACCCATTCATTCCATTCACCAAATCATCTCATTTTCCATTGCAATACACAAACACTTCTCCTTCCATTTCATACCATCACACAACCTATCCTTAAACCTTGTGCTACAACAACGAGGAAGAGAAGAGTGCCTAAACGTTCATACAATTCAAGTTTGAGTTGTTGGAATGTTTAGGTGTTTCTTTGATTTCAAAGTTTCATTTTAATTCTCTTTGTTTTATGGAAGAGAAGAGTGCTTAAATGTTCATACAATTCAAGTTTTGAGTTGTTGGAATGTTTAGGTGTTTCTTTGATTTCAAAGGTATGAGGAACTAATCCCCCTTTAGCTAGGGGGTGATTCGAAACTATGTTTATATTTGCAATATGAATTGATTAACTTTCGTTGGAATTTCATAAGTTGTGGATTCAATTTGTTTAACCATTTGATTGATAACTTATTTATGAATGTTTATTAAGAATGCGCGCTTAATTTTCATGCATAAATATGACGCTAGAATATAAGTGATTTTCACCTAATCGTTATGAACTTATATTCACAAGTAGTGGAGGTTGCTTATAAACAATCGCGTTAAATGAATTCTTGGCACGAGTTTCATGCTCATCATAGTAACGAATGCCTCGTCAACACTTATAGTTTTCATAATACTTAATGATCTTTGATTGTATCTTTATTGTGCTGTTCACGTAAAGGACTTTTGGAGAATGTTGTGAATTGTGTTGCGCAAACCCATCCAATTCATTAACTTAAGGAAAACTTGACGGTTAATTTAAGCGGACCTAATTAATCCGGAGTGTTGAGTTTCATAATTTATCGAAAGACCAACTGAGAATAAATCTTGTATGCAAGTATAACATGTGTGGAGAAGAACCCCTTAGCTAGCATTCATTCCATATTTCATCACATTCATATTTAAATTCTACCTTTAAATTACAATTTGTGCATTTAATTTATTTTCGTCAAAATCTCAATCCCCCTTTACTTTAGTGTCCAATTTAGTTAGAAAGTGTCTTAGTTTGTGTTTATAAGTGTTTTGTATTCTTTGAGTCTTTTGATTTGTTTTAGTGTTTTAATGTTTGTTTTACATTTTTGAGTCAGTTTTCAAGTGATTTAGTAATCCCTCCTAATCCCCGGTTTAGAACGATCCCTACTTATACTTATACTACAATTGACAAAAAGAGGGTTTAATTTGTGTGCGTATAAATCTTGCATCACTTTGTGTGTGGTTTGAATCTGAACAATTACATCGTGTATCACCATCAAATAGGCAAATTTGTTATGTGTGATGGTATATTTACACATGACTGAAATGGATTATCTAATTTTATGCAATTTATAATTTTGGGTTTCTCTAATTTTCTGCTTTTTTGTGATTTATTTGATGAAAGTTTCAATCTTCAAGTACATTTTTCATATATGTACTCATCAAATGTCACGATTACTGTTCCTCTGGTTTTTTGGGCTACAAATTAAATTTTGGGGTTGTTTAAATTTCTTTAATGTGGTTCAAGATTAATTGATTTGATGTTCTAAGTTCTTTGTAGGCAAAACATTGGACCAGTTGGTCATATTTAGAAGAGCAAACGGGGATGGAGTTCTTGGTGTTGCATGAAGTTGATGTGCATGAGATGGACGTCCATCCTGTCTCCAATGGAAGAAAATCGATGTCACCATCTTCAGCTTTCCTCATGCAGGCCATTACTCTAGGCTAAGTGAAAAGTACTCGGTCCTTACTGAGTAAGTCACTAATTATTCATTTCAATTAAATGCTGATTAGGATATTATGTGTAAATAGGATTGTAAATATGTTGTACATATAATTTTCAATCCCGCAGCAACGCGCGGGCATCATTGCTAGTAGGAACTAAAGACTACTTTATTTCTTACTATTTAGTATTATGGTTGTAAACACGAATATTTTGTGACAAATGACAGAAGGACATGTGTACAAAATAATTGTTTATATTAATGAATTTGTAGAGTTACAATATCTTTACAACTTGATCTTCTGATTCGATCTTCGAAATGTGTAGATGTGTAGTGTTGTTGATCCAAAGGTTGCGATGACTTAATCTTCGATGAACGAATGCCGCGAGGTTTTGGCTCTTGGCAATGGAGAAACCAGCACGTGTAGGGGTGCTTGGTGGTTCTTCAAGGGATTTAACGAAGAACATGAAGGGTTTTCCGAGTCTTCTTTAGTGTTTGAGTGTTTGGGTGCTTGAGAGCTTCAAAGTTTCAAAGCTTCAGCGTCTAGGCGTGAAATGATTTCTGGACCTTTTTCTTTGTCTTGGTTCGTCAATTAATCAAGCCCACAACCAAGGGCCGATGAAGGGCCGTTGATTTCTAGACCTTTTTCTTTGTCTTGGATCCTCCGCATAGTGAATGTACTTTGACCACTGTACTTTGAAGTCCTTCAATGTAGATGTCAATTCAAGGGTCGTTGAGGCTTGATCTTGAATTGGGCTGGAAATTTCTTCTAGGGTCGTCGAGACTTGGTCTTGAATTGGGCTGGAAGTTTATTCAAGGGTCGTTGAGGCTTGGTCTTGAATGAAACGGGAGCACAAGGATTTTTCACGTGGCTGGTGATCTTCGGCTTTGGTAGTGGAGGAATAGGCACATGTTTGTTGCGCTTGTTGATTCTCCACGAGCTTGATGAAGAACATTGAGTGTTAGCTTTGGCCAGAGAGCTTTCTGGCTTTCCTCCAAAGGTTCGGATTTACTTTATTTCTCTGGAGTTGACTTTGATTCAATGGTGGTGGACACTGGACCTTGAATCGGACTTGTGATTTCTTTAAGGGTCGTCGAGACTTGATCTTGAATGAAATTGGACCACGAGATGCTTCACATGGCTGGTGGTCTTCGGCTTTGGTTGTGGATGAATCGGCATGTGTTTGTTGTGCTTGTTGATTCTCCGCGAGCTTGATGAAGAACATGATTGTTTGGGTGTTTGAGAGATTTTTGGATGTCCGAGCTTCGACTTGCTTCCTTTTTACCCTCCCCTGCTTATGAACGAGTGCCTAGTATTTATAGGCTAAGAATTGGGCTTAATTTGAATACCCAAGTGGATTATTAGGCTGGCCTGCTGCTTTGCGTCCTCACCACACCTATACAAAAGGATAATACACATATGTACATATACACATGGCACATCACTTATTTTTCCCTTATATATATATATATTCTTTCTTGATTTTTTTTTAATTATATTTTTTTTCTCTGTGTGTCTGCGAATAGGTCTTCTTTCTCATTTTGGAGGCTAAAATTTGGCGCCCAATTCACTCCTTATTTTCCAAAACAAATCCCCGCAAATGGGGAAAATTAATCCCTAGTGAATGAGGGATAACATTTGACTTTCATAAGAATTTCCTTCCTTTTTTAAGCAAACTTGAGCTAATAAATTAGACGAGCCATGCCTGCTTCAGTCCAATTGTGGCATTGCATTTCTTTTTGTCTTTCAGTGGGCAACATGTTACCCCTCTTTGACGTGCCTCATTCTGCATATTTTTTATTTATTTTTATTTTGTTGCATAATCTTTTGTAGGTGATGGTACATGTCGTCCTCCCACACATCTCGCTGCTGTTCTCTGCATACGTTGTTGTTTTCCTCATTCGGGGTTTCATCCAACATGCGTCTGTATCCTACGTTTGCTTAGATTTGAGCCTGTGATGTTGCGTTCTGCTGCTGTCGGCCGCCCACCCGCTTTGTTGCTACTGTGAATTGCTTGTTGTTTTGCCACACACTGCCTGTTGTGTAATGTCGCTCACTGTTTGTGTGTGTTGCTTGCCGCTCACCGTGACTTGTTGCTTTGCTGTGCACTGCCTTCTGCCTTGCCTTCACAAATTTAGGCCCCAATGCAATGAAAGGATTCGCTCTCACATTGATTGATGCACGGACTATATAATATTATATATATATATATATATATATATTTGTCTTTTATGGGGTTTTTTTGTTTTTTTGTTTTTTAATTTTGCTCATTCTTCTGATACTTATTTTTTTATAATTTGCAAGTAACAACGCTTATGGAGTTTTGCATCACTTTTCTATGTCGTCCTTAATTTCTGCCTTTTGTTTTTCGAGCCCGCACGTCGTTTACAAGCGCAATTTCCAACAATAGGCGGCAGCTTTCTACAAGTTTGCAATTAGTGACGGCTTTCTGCAAGTTTGCAATTAGTGGCGGCTTTTTGTAAATTTTTGCAATTAATGGCGGCTTTCTGCAAGTTTCCACAGTTAGTGGCGACTCTTTGCAAGTTTATATTTAATGGCGGTTTTCTACAAGTTTCTGCAGTTAGTGGTGACTCTCTGCAAGTTTCTGCCTTTTATGAATCAAGTTTGTGTGTTATCCTTGAGCGCAATTTCCAACCATAGGTGGCGACTCCTTTTTTTGGGTTTGTTATGGCTTTCGGCATTGGTTCTATGACGCCCACTGCTGCTGTCACAAGGGAAGTTACTCGCCATAAGGAAGTGTGATCATCATAAGGGAGACTACTTGACATAAGGGAGGTTGTTCGCCGATAAGAAGGCTGCTCGTCACAGAGGAGTTGTTTGCTGCAATGAAGGCTTATTGCCACAAGGGAGTGTGCTTGCCACAAAAGAATGTTACTCATCACAATGGAGGCTACTTGTTGCAAGGCAGCCTGATTACTGCAAGGGAGTCTGATTATCGCAAGGGAGTCTACGCATGGCAATGGAGGTTTGTTCACCGCAAAGGAGGTGTGCTCGTCGCAAATAAGGGTGCTCGTAGCAATAGAGGTGTGTTCGCCTTAAGGGATGTGTGCTCTCCACAAGGAAGTGTGATCGCCGCAAATGAGTGTGCTCACCGCAAGGAAGATGTGCTCACCATAAGGGAGTTGCTGGACTACATGTATTGTCGCTGTTGCAAGGGAGTCATCGAACTACATGCCCTGCCTTTGCCTGTGAAGACGAGGACACACCATTGCCTATAACGATGAGCCGCTGTGATGTCAAGTTGTGATGTCATTATGAAGACAAGATGTGATGCCGCTGTGACGACAAGCTTTGATGTCGCTGTGACGACAAACTGTGACATCGTTGCTGGCTACCATTGTTGTAGGTGTCACTTCTATGCCTGTACCGCTTCTAGGACAGCACTACCTTTGATGCATATTGCTTTTGTGGTTGCACCACCTCTGGGACTCTTTGCTTCACATTGCTCTTACCGCTTGCTCATTCGTGGAAGACATCGATAAATTGAAGACATTGGAAGGTTTGCTCATGATTCAGTTGCACAACTTCAAAGACTTAGTCTCATAGTGATGGCTTGATCTTGCATCTTCATCTTAAAGGTTGGAACATTTATGTTTTTCATTTTCATGTGACTAAACTCGACTTTCGTGTTCGAGCTGTCTATGTACCCTTCCAGAAAAGAGATCAAGTCACAATGTAGTTAAAATATGTTTTTTTTTCTTTTTTATTTTATTTTATTTTTTGTGTCTTAACTTTTTCTTGAGCCGCCCTTTTGAGTTTTCAACTCAACGGACTTTTTTTTTCCTTTTTTTTTTTGTGTCCTAACTTTTGCTTGAGTCGTCCTTTCAGGTTTTCAACTCAACGAACTCCTTTTTTTCATTTTTTTTATGCTGTACGTAATTTAGGCTTTTACGGGCTAGGAGCATGTCTTCTTCTTGGGCGTAGCATTGCTTCAAACGTGGCGAAGCTTTCTTCAAGTCGTTAATGGTTACTTGCCCCTCATTCTCAAATGGTGGAACTTCCTTAACATCTTCTCCCTCGACCTCTCCGACTGCGACATGGTAGACGACTCGTTGGCTCAAGCATTAACCAGTCTGTATGATTATGCGTCGTTTTACCTTAAGCTGACCATTCGAACTCACGTCTAATGTTGAACGATGTTTCATACGTGAAGGGATTAGACTACAAATTCCATCATCCTTGGCTAGGTCAACGAGTCTCTTTCCTTCTAATATCAATTGCTTTTCCCCATAGGGCTCTTTTACAACTTTAAGTCTCTCCAAAGCTGACCTTTGTGGGGGATAACTGGTTGCACTTTCCTGTCCAGTAAGGTTGGTCAACTTATTAAATACAGAACCTCAAGAGGCTGGTGCATCAAGTCGATTAAAGACGAGAGTCTGGGCTTGACCATCGATGCAATCAAATACAAAAGTTTGCGGCTTTTGAACCTTAAACTCTTTCTTGTGCGCCGACTATGTCACCTTCGTGGCTACTTTAGGGTGGGTTTTCTCAGTGTTGTAGTGAGAACTTCCCTTTTGTCTTTCCTTTCATGCTCGAGCATCTTATGATTACGACTTACGCACCTTCCTTAGGGTTGCCAGTATCTGTCCTTCATTGCCATTGATTGAAGAGCCGTCATGTAGGTTAACGCCATTGAGATAGCTTACTCTATCAATGGTGCTCGCTTTATCTACATTAACCACTTGAGGCTTTACCTTTGGCAACTGCAGCCATGCCATGATTGACGATACAGGGAGAGCCACATGATCAAGGGGTTTAAGTATGACGCTTGTGGTAGTTGTCGTTGCCGCTTCTTCAAAATCTAGCTTAATCTTTCTTTCTTGGGTGAGCTTCATGATTAATTCCTTAAGAACGAAGCACTTTCCCAATGGATGACTAATGACGTTGTGGTACTTACTATAGTTTGGATCGTTTACTTGACTAATTTATTCCAACAGCTTGTACTCGAGCAACTCGATCACTTTCTTGTCGAGCAAATCCTTCAACATGGCAGCCACATTGGTGTTGGAGAATGGGTAAGTCTTTTCCTCAAGCTCCTTCAAAGTGCGTTTGTACCTTTCTTGATCATGAAAAGGTTCGTTCCATTTCACCTCATTCTTTTTGTCCCTTGTGGAGATTCTATCAGGAGCT